ACACACACATATATACACATACACCATGGAGTGCTATTCAGCCATAAAAAAGAATGAATTAATGTCTTTTGCAGCAATTTAAATGGAACTGGAGGCCATTATCCTAAGTGAAATATCTCGGAATGGAAAAACAAACACCACATGTACTCTCTAATAATTTGGAACTAATTGATGGGCACACAGAGAAGTAAAAGTCATTGGAGAAAGGGGTGGAGGGGAGGGGTAAAAACCTACCTAATGGGCACAATGAACACTATTCGGGTGATGGGCACAATAATGGCCCTGATTTAAGCATTATAAAAGCTATACATGTAACAAAAACATTTGCACCCCCTTTATATTTTGAAATTTTAAAAAAAGCCTAGGCCTTCCTGAGAAATACTGGAAAAAAGCAAATAAAACAAAATATCAGCAAGCTGTAAAATTAGTGTTTTTCTTGCAATTTGTCTGCCATTGTATAATTTCAGAAATGCGTCGGATCCTGCACATACCCTTTGCCATAGTATAGGGTAAATGAATAAACAGATGGAGGATAGGCTTTTTAATGTTTGCTACAAAGGAGAAACAAGCATTAATCCCAGAAACTTCTTGTCTCCCTGAAAATTCTGATCAAGTTAGGATTAAAGGCCAATGAAAAGGCCTACAAGGAGTGCTTATACCCAGTGCCCAGATCATGATCTTTAAATACTATTTCTCACTAAAAGGACATGACTCCATGAACATATTCTTGATCTAGGGTAGGAAATATATAAAGATGGCCCAGGACATCTCGTTGTACCAAAAAGCAAGGATGCAAACCATCCTTTTCTTGGGGTTGTGCTACTGTCCAATGAGCGCACAGTGAGGGCAGTATGCTAATGCCTACACAACATACCTGCATCAACTAGAGCTTTGCTTTACCTTGGGGCAATTTGGGAAAAAAGAAAAACCTCTTTTCCATGATTAAAAAAAAAAATCAAGGATGCTATCATAAACTATTAGGTTGCATAAAAAAGTACACAGGAGCAGACATGAAGGAGCTTTCATTGGCCAAAGATGGAACAATAGGAGCATCAAAAAGATAATATATGCTATTGATTGAATCACATTGAATCTAAAAACCCACATGATACTAAAAAATAAAACATAGTAATTATCTCATTGGACATCACTGGAATCAACATGGGCACCAATTCTTTACTCTGAAAATTGGCAATAAAAGGACAGAAATATTTATCCTCTCTTTTCCACATACTGCATTTCAAGATAACTAAATAGCCTTAGTTGATAAGGAAAAGTTATTTTCAGAAGAATTCTGGCTAATGAGTGTGAAGAAATGAGAGAATTAGAAAATGAGCACTTGGCAACCTTTAATGAAATCATTGGTTAAAGCAAAAATCATGAATGGATACACTCATTTGATAAAAGATCAGTGGGGAATTTTACAATGTAGAGATCAGGTTATCACCATTTAAATATACTGATTAATCTTAATATCACTAAAGGTGGGATAAGCCCAGATACTGTGTATCTTCTGTTGAGAAGCAATACGAAGTATAAAGTGCCAATTACGAAGTATTCTTATCAAAAAAGTAGAACTTGAATCTAATCAAGCCTCTAGAGGGAACTTCCATTTGTAGAAAATATAGGGAGACAGCGGGACATATTAAATGATGCTATAAGGAAACAAACAGATAAATTAATGTGGGACATTCTACAGAACACTGACCCAATTTCTGCAATGAAACAATGGCATGAAAAAAAAAGTTGGGGAGAAGGCAGACTGCTCTATATCAAAACAAACAGAAAAACTGAATGTAATAAAAGGACCTTGTTTAGATTCGGATTTTAACAAACCAACTGTAAAAAGTCATTTTTAGACAATTGGAAAAATTTGGGTATGGAGTAATCATTGGCTAATACCAAGGAAATAGCTGTAATTTTTTAGGTTTGATAATGGCATTGTGGTTATGTAAGAAGAATGTTCATATTTTTAGAAGCATACTCACTGAAGCATATACAGATCCAATAACATGGGATTTACTTTAAAATACTTAAAGGCAAAGGAAAAAAGGATACATGATAGAAATGTGGCAAAATCTTAATAGTTATTAAATGAGTTATTAGTATATGGAGATTTATTGCACTATTCTATTTTCATGTATGTTATAAAGATTTTTACAATTAAAAAAAGGAGGGGTTAATCACAACTATTACAACCTGGGTATTTACTGTACCTTTCTTTCAAGGAGGGCAAAGTACTTTCACATTAGTTATTATTAATAATAATAATAATAGCTAACATTTAATAAATTTATTGTGTGCTAGACGCTCTAAGTACTTTCTATGTATTAACTCATTTAATCTGTCTTTCTTAGCTTCACACCATCCAATGTCAAGTCTACTTGTTCACGTTTAACTTACCTGATATACTTGGTCTGTAGTACTATTCTTTTTAACCCTGACTGTAACTGTTGTTCCATCTGGTAATGCTACTCTCAGCTCTACATCGGACACACCGTTATAGTTCTGGGGGAAAAGATACAGAAAGAATTTATAACCCAGTATATCTCCTCACTCTTCCTGTAACATGATAGCTAAACAATAATCTAAACATGTAATAGAGAAGAAGTGAGTTAAAATGAAAAAGGGGGAAAAGTCAATATATTTACAAGTCATGAAGCTGACTTTAGGTTGCAGCAGAAGTTAACCTTTAAGATGAACAACGAGGAAAGAAACATGTTGAAGCCAACATGTTCACATTTCAAAGCAGAAAACCTGTGTGAAGCAGTCTAGGTCAAACACAGATGAGATGTTTGGTTCACTTCCCTCTCCCCATTTAGAGCTCACAAATGTGAAGAGAAAACAACTTAAAGCAGTGGTTTCAAAATCCTCTGGTACTAATGGTAAGTAAGGCATGTAGATCGGCTCAAAGGGTATCGTAAGGTCCTTTCTGAACCTTGAAATAATCAGGACATCTTTGAAATGAAAAATGGGTGAGACTCAGGTATCTGAGTTAGTCTGATGCCCAATTTTCTTCTAGCAAAGAATAAAAAATTCTTATTCTCCTTGATTCAAAGAAACCCTTATTTTGTTTTTGATGATTAACACATTCCTCTAACGGATCTTTGACCTTGTAACTTTTATTAGACAGAAACAACTATTTAGGAACAAGTCCATCTTCATTTACCACTTTTAAAAAAGCAGTATTCATTGCCTAAAACCATTCGAAGCATTATTTTATTATAAGCCCGTGTCTGTAAGAAACTTATAATCTAGTTGGAAAAATAAGACATATGCATATAAAATAATTAGTGTATAACACACTAATATGTTAGCATTAAATATTCATTCTTCTATCCAATTAATATTTTTAAGCACCTACAGCATTGCTTGACACTGTGGTAAGTCACTGGGAATGTAAAGATGATCAAGATTTATCTCTTACCTACAGTTAGCTCACATTCTTGTAAGTTAAAAATATAAAGTGACAATCTGATTATATGTATAAAAATTAGAGAATGAGATGGCAACAGGTGATAAGGTGATAACTGAGTGGTACTGATTGTAAAAGTTCTTGGTAGAATAAAAAATTGATAACCTGAGTCATCAGGGATGGCTTCAAAGAGAAGGCAGACCTGGCACTAGGTCTTAAAAGATAAGCAGGATACATAGGAAAAGGAAGTAGAAAAAAAATGTAGTCATCTGTAAAGTTTATGGCAATTCAACCCATAATGAATATGTTTTATTTATTTTCCCCCACAAGGAGCTAAGAGGAAAACAGTCACTAAAGGGGGTGTTCACCTACCTCATCTGATTCTGACAGGAATTCCTGCATGATATCACTCTCACCAATGACTCGTATTGAACACACTGTAGAAAACAAAGATAGAATCTGGCATAAGGCCCTAAAATCAAGAATACTAAGTCAAAAATATACCAAGGTTTAAGTTTAAATCATCAGTAGGAGGCAATGATGAGGTAGCATGCCATGCCAGGCATATAAGATTTTAAGACATGACAAACATTCATCTAAATATGATAACAGAAAAGTAATAGAAAATACAAAGATATGGCTTGCTAAATATTAAATATAGCCAAAAAAGAGAAATAAAAGTTCAGTAAATCTAGCTGGGCATGGTGGCATGCACCTATAGTCCCAGCTACTTGAGAAGCTGAGGCAAGAGGATCCTTGACTTGAGCCCAGGAGTTAGAGACCAGCCTGGACAACACAGTGAGACCCTGTCTCTTTAAAAAAAAAAAAAAAAGTTTAGTAAATCTAATTTTGCAGTCTTGTATGACCTATTAACAAGCTGTAACAACAGAACATGGGGGGAAGAGACAGTGGTAAAGAAATGTCAATCAGGAATAAACCAAACATAAAACTGAAATACAAAAGGAAAATATCTATTTGGCCTATGAATAGGCCATTCAGAGAACCATAAACATTTAAAGCCACTTTGGAAAAAATGGATAGGTAATTAAGTATTAAGCTGAGCATGTCATTTCACCTCACTGACTAGCTTTAAAATAACCACCAAAAAAGAAAAAAAAAAAAAAAGGAAGAAAGGTAAGCAGGCAGATAGGCAGGTAGCTACTCATCTAAATCTAAGAATGTTAATTTCTTGACACTCTCATGAGGATGCCAAATTACACTGATGATTTTACTTCATTTGATTAAAAAAAATTGGACCCCTTTCTCATTTCCCAAGGGCTGTGTTCAGAGGCCAGTCTGTTAGAAAAAGCTAAAAACAGATGAGGAAGTTCTACTACTTTCTATGGGAGAAATGGTTTTTCTTCAGGGATAAAGCTCCCTACCAAAGTTTTTTAAAAAATCAACTAGGTCAATTAGTTCTTATACAAGGACACAAAATGACTAAATATCACATAAGACCATTATTCTATTAAACCAGTATTTTAAAGGAAAACCTATTGCACTGCTAGCAAATTCTACAATTCTGTAACTTAGTATGATAAGGTTGCTTCTCTGAGCCACAAGATGAACTATTTTATTGAGGAGATCTATGTTATTTCTGTTCCTTTCTAGATAAACAAATGTTTCAGCATCCACATCCACAGACTCCTAATGTATCATTTGGAAGCTCAGAAATAACAAGTTAATTTCCATACTTTTACCTTTAGCCTGCTTTGAACAGTGGAATTTTAGATTACTACAGCTCTGCAAACCTATCCACGGATATCTATAAAATTAATAAAGAGTTTTCATGTAGGATATGCCAGTAAGCCAAGAATCACTTTCATGAAAATGTCTTTAATATTGCCCACTCAGTTCTCAATATTCAGCATATTGATGAGTCTGTGTGAATGTGTTTGCTGGCAAATAATATAACCCTATAAATAAAGGTCCATAAAGGACCATCAAATGTATCAAAAACTAAATATTCATTTTTCTGTTGGTGTTAAGTACTCAATGAACCAATAAAACAGGATACTGATCTCTGTACTGGACGTTCCAGTATTCCCTTCAAAGCTCAGATCATTCAACACTATAGTCAGAAACTTGACCGTCACTATTGAGTTTCAGGAAACTCAGCCATACGGTTTAGAAGTTGCATGTCTAGACCCTATGTCTACTCAGGATAGTAGAGTTTAATGGGTTGGCTTACCTTTTTCTAGATATTCTTCCAAACCCCGACGCCGGGTATCTAATTGTTGTTCTGATAATGAGAAGGGCCACTTTCCTGGAAGACGGGGAAATGTAAAGTTGGCAAACTCTCTCTTCAGGTTCTGGTGTAGGATAGCAAACTCCCGGTACCGCTTAGAACATAGCTGCCTCCCTGCCATGTAAACATTGTATACCTGGTAAGGGAGAAGAACAAAGAAAAGCCTACTTACTACAAATTAAATCGCAGAGATCATCTAAAGTCAGGCTTAGACTGATGTTGGCTAGGTGTATTTTGCTAGGCACTTTAAAATTAAGATATACTTTTAACGAACATGCCAAAAGTAATATGCACAAAAAAGGGCTACCCTTCAAGAGGGGCATGATCTTGTTTTTGCTATTAAAATGATCTCTAACACATTTTTAAATATCTTCAAAGGCAATTATCAGTTGTTTGTGTTTTTTACCAACTGCTTAGCCTTTGCAGCAATTATCAGTTTTTAAGGATAGATTTTATTTTCTGAAAGTTAAAAGTCATTTGAAGACAATGATAATGACAATGTCAATGACAATGACAATGGTGAATACAGTGAATGAACAAACAAGCAAATTTGGATGGAGATGAAAACCTGGGGTTGATTATAAAGCAACGCGACTGACATTTGCATGTGGCCCAAACTGGTTCTAAAGTTAATTTCAAAGAAAAGAACTAAAAATGATTTAAGCAATAGCATTTTTGTTGGCAAACAGATATGGTAAAAAGTAAAATAAAAGCCAAGACCTTGATAATAACTTAATTCAAACCATATAGTCTCTGCCTTCTCCATCCCATCTCTCTGCTGCCCTGACCCCCAAAATTTATCATATCCAACTATGTTTATCATTCCCTTGCTTTCACCTTGTTATATATTTTTGCATTTATATGTAATCCTTAAATTTTTATTTTGTATTTTAATTTTTAAGGATATTTTAGTTTTTGCAAAAATAGGGTATCATGCTGGATGAGACTTTTTAGAACTTTTTCACTCAGTCTCATCCACAACATTATATATCTTTGTGGTTTATTCTGCTGCATATAGCACTTGGTTGTGTGACTATATCATAGTTGTTTGTTTTTAATCTGTTCTCCCACTGATAGGCATTTGAGTTGTTTCTGGGTTTTAGCTATTGTGAACAGTGCTGCTAGCAACATTTGTATACATGCCACCTGTTGTACAAGGAAAAGAGATTCTTCTGAGTATACACCTAAGAGTGGAACTGCAGTGTTGTAAGACATGTGCATATTCAACCTCAGGAGATAATGCCAAAATGTAAGCTAAAGTGGTACACTAATTTATTCTCCTGTCAGCAATATATAAAAAGATCCTCTTAATTTTTGCCAACAGAATGGGTCTGAAAAGATTTCTTACTGTGGTCCTAATTTACATTGCCCTAATTACTAATGATGTTTAATATACCTTTATATATTTATCGGCCATGTGAGTCCTTTTTTGTAAAATACCTATTCATGTGTTTTGCCTACCCTTATGTTGAGTTTTTGTGCTTTCTCATTGATTTGTAGCATTCTTTATATGTTCTTTTTTTTTTTCCTTTGAAGATGGTCAAGAATCTTTATATGTTCTTGACAATCTTTTTCATTTGTGTATTGTGAATATCTTCTCCCAGTTTGTCACTGGTCTTTTCACTTTATTTAAAAGTCTTCCAAATTTTAAAAAGTTTTTAATTTTAAAAAAGTCCAATTTATCAATCTTTTTATAACCAACACTTTTGTCTTTTTTTTTTTGAGACAGAGTCTCACTCTGTCACCTCAGCTAGAGTGCAGTGGTGTCATCACAGCTCACTGCAACCTCAAACTCCTGGGGCTCATGCGATCCTCTCCAGTAGCTGGGACTACAGGTGCACAGCACCATGCCCGGCTAATTTTTTCTATTTTTAGTAGAGACATGGTCTCACCCTCGCTCAGGCTGGTCTCAAGCCACCCTCCCGCCTCAGCCTCCCAGAGTGCTAGGATTACAGGCGTGAGCCACACCACAGCTGGCCTTTTTGTGTCTTAAGAAGTTTTTTTCTATCACCAAGCTCTAAAAGCTATTCACCAATATTTCTACTAAGAGTTTTTAATTTTCTTTTTTTTTGTCATTTAAGTCCCTTAATCCATCTGGAATTGATTTTTCTATATAATATGAAATAGCGTTCCATTGGTATTTCTTTTAAATCCAAGAATATTTAAAATCAACTTTTAATTGAATTCTCCCTAAACAAAAATATTCTGCTTTTACAGGACAATATGGGGACTTCCAAGTGGTCTGTAATTAACTTCCCACTATAAACAACTAGAAAACCGGACACAATATAGGACACGACTATTTTCAGATGCTGGACAACAGGCAGCTAAGAACTGTGATCCCTGAGTAAGGGAAACAAACAAGATGAGCCCAACCATAAGCCTGGCTTTCTGCCTGGAGATAACTCCTAAACTGCAGCTCAGGGAGTTGAACAGACAGAAACTATAGTTCAGGGAGGCCACAGCAGCTAGAATTTGCAGGGCTGAGCACACAAAAGGGAGCTAAAGAGAGACATAGATCCAGAAGTCTGTGTTGAGTCCCCTTGAATTTTAGCTGAATCTGAAGAAAGAACTATAACCAAGAGGAGCTGTAAATAAACAATTCCCAGAGTTCACACAGGACATGGACTCGTCATTCAACTTCCCTCCAGCCAGAATAAAGAGACCTCCCTGAATCTATGTGGAATTCAAAAGGGAACTCAAAAAGGCCATGCTTTAGGAGCAGGGCTAAATTTTTCTAGAGTAAAAGCTACTCTAAACCACCCTAAAAGAGCTTAAAAGCAAACCCCAAAGGATTAAAATAAACTGTAACTTAACTGCATGCCAGAAAAAAAATCCAACACTCTTTAAAAGAATATAACAAAATCTAGCACCCAATAGCATTAAATTCACAAGGTACAATGCCCAATTAAAAGTTACTAGACATATAAAGAAGCATAAACATTTGACCTATGACCAGGAGAAAAATCAGCCAGTAGAAACAGACTCAGAAATGACAAAGACAAAAGAGTCAGTAAACAAGGACATTAAGCAGCTATCATAGGCTGCTTCTGCTTCTGTTTAGGATTCAGGAAGCTGGGCCAGGCTTGGTGTGTCACACCTGTAATCCTAGCACTCTGGGAGGCCAAGGCGTGAGGATTGCTGGAGGACAATAGTTTGAGAGCAGCCAGAGCAAGGACGAGACCCTGTCTCTACAAAAAATAGGAAAATTAGCCAGGCCTGGTAGCCCATGCCTGTAGTCCCAGCTACTTGGGAGGCTGGGGCAGGAGGATCGTTTGAGCCTAGGGGTTTGAGGCTGCAGTGAACTATGATGATGCCTTTGCACTCTAGCCAGGCTGACAGAGCGAGACTCTGTCTCAAAAAAAAAGAAAGAAAGAAAGAAAAAAAGAGCACTTCCATCCCAGACACCAGGAGACTTCCCACTAACTTGCACATCTTTTCCATGGCCTCTACTGTATTCAGAAGAAAGACTGGGGGCAGGGCAGGAGACTAGAGATAGTCTGCCTTGGTGGCCCAGGCCTATGGGAGGTGATTAGCAATTGCCAGGGGACAGACACAATGCTCAACCACCCTCCCATACCCTTCTCTTCTAAGCAAAAACTTTAGGCTATTGGGGGATGGGCAGTGCTATGGTTTGAATGTCCCCTCCAAAACTTAAGTTGAAATTTATTTGCCATTGGGAGGGTATTAAGAGGGACCTTTAAGAGGTAATTAGGTCATGAGGGTAAAGCCCACATGAAAGGGTTAATGTAGCTATGGAGAGAATAAGTTAGTTATCTCAGGAGTTAGGCCCTCCCTTTTCTCTGTCTCACAGGTACTTCTTTACCATGTGATGCCTTCCTCCATGTTATGATACAGGAAGAAGGCCCTCACCAAATGTGGCCCCTTGACAATAGACTTCCCAGCCTCCAGAACCATAGGCCAAATAAATCTCTTTTCTTCATAAATCATCCAGTCTGTTATTCTGTTACAGCAGTAGAAAACAGACTAAGACAGGCAGCAAACCCTCTCATTCGGAGGACACAGGTAAAGATCCACTGCTTCTGGGGAAGGAGTAAAAGCAAAATACTCTGTACTCCTGGGGAGAGGCAGGAAACTATCTTAGGTCCAGATTTCCACACTGATACCAAGCAGAGGTCTGCCATAGCTGGAGGAGGGACAACTCTTTCCCAAGACTAACCACAGACACTAAACAGAGTTTGTCTGAGAAAAGAAGGAAGGGCAAAATAACTAAGACACAGGGACACAGACTCTGCCTAAGGCTAAGGCTGGACCACACAACATCCACCTCTACCAAAAGAGGCCAGCGCAAATAAAAACCAAGAACAGTCTGTCAGTGGCAGTGGGGTAAGCGAGAGAGAGAACTTCTCTGTGGTGCAGGCATGCAGGAGTGACTGAAAGCTTTGGGACAGAAATACTAAAAAAACCCCTCCAGAACCCCAGCCCCCACTCTAAGAACAAGGTAACAGCAGCCTACTGCTACAGGAACTTGAAGCCTATGGCACAATAAAAGTAATGATAGCCACAAGAAAACACAAACCCAGCTTCACTGACTCAATTGACTAATAGAAGAGGCTTGCCCATTTCCAGGTTCAAATACTATTTACTTTAGTCATCTCTACTGTTCTACATATGATAGTTGGCATTCAGTTAATTATTACCAGACAAAAATGAAAAGCAAAAAAAAAAAAACCCAATACTTCTGTCAAAAGATAAAACAATTTCAGAGGTGAGACCCAAAAGTTGAAACTATTAGACAGGGACTTTAGAATAACTGTGATTAATACGCTAAAAGATCTAATGAAAAAGGAAAAGGCAGAATACATGTATGGACAGGGATTTCAGCAGATATGAAAACTATACACAAATATCAAATGGAAATGATAGAATAAAAGGCATGCTATCAGAGATGAAGAATTCCTTCAAGAATCTCATCAGGAGACTGGACACAGTTGAGGAAAGAATCGGCAAACTTAAAGACAGGTCAGTAAAAATGCTCTAACTGGGAACAAGAGAAAAAGAAGAACTAAAACAGAATAGAGCATCCAAAAGCTCTAGGACAATATCAAACAGTCTAATATACAGGTAATTGCAATCTCAGAAAGACAAAAGAGAAAAAACAGAGCTGAAGAAATA